TGTGAGGAATTCATAAAGCAACATCTAATTCGCTACTTGTGTTGCAGAAATTCTTCAGCTTGCTTTCAAATAGTTTTTCCTAGGAATTGGGTGTGACTGTGTTAAAATCTCTGAACTCAAAATTTGTCTTTATTTAGGTGAAGTCATTAATGAAAAAGACCGCTGTAAAAAATGTGAAGGGAAGAAGGTGATCAAAGAGGTAAAAATACTTGAAGTCCATGTAGATAAAGGCATGAAACATGGGCAAAGAATTACATTCAGTGGAGAAGCAGATCAGGCTCCCGGTGTGGAACCAGGCGATATTGTCCTTTTACTCCAAGAGAAAGAGAATGAGGTAATGCTTTTGAGTTTATCTTTTAAATGCCTTTTATTCCAGTTGTTAATATTTAAGTTACATAGATGGCCATTAATTTAAAGTAATTGATACTGTTGCAGCTCTGGGAGAGATGGTGAATAGCTTTTAATAGATTTATAGTTTGTAATGTGGCTTTCATGGTGAGCCAGAAAAAACTGGGCAAGTCCTTAGCCAGAGGACAGGCAGCTTCTGGTACTTCCTAATGCTAATAAGAGGTAGCTTTCTCAGATAAGCTCAGACTGACTTTGATACAGTAGATGCAGTGAAGAGCCATTCAGGATGTTAGCTTTAATCTGCTCTGCTCGTGACACTAACAGAATTCTAAGTGTAGCTTTTTTCCATGTCTTGTGACATGGCAGGGAACTCCTGATAAAACCCCAGATGGTGCTTTCTGAGCCTGCTACTGTAGTTTTGGAAATAGCAAAAAATGGTGATGTTGCTGATTCACTTAACAAAACAAACATTATTGTTTTATGCTAGTTTGGTATTCACTGTATTCTGGACTACATACACTGCACTTGGCATTAAATATTGCAATTTATCTTTTCCTGTTAAAACTCATGTGGGGCAGAGTTGAGGTGACTGCTTCTTTTTTAATCCTGTTGTTAAAAAATGCTAGATATAGCTATGATGAAAGAAGAAATAGTTTGTGTGTTGCACTTGAGGAGGGGTTTTATGTTGTGATGAGTAGCATGGGTTAGAAATTTAGACTCCAATCATATTATAATTATATAATGTTATAATGTTGGCAATCTGCTAATTAGGTACTTTGTAAGCTTTTCAAAGCTGTGTCAAGGACTGCTAATCTGCCAGCCAGTCTGTACTTTTTCCTAGTGAGTAAAACTAGATAGACTTTGTGCTCCTAAAATTTCCTTTGAGGTGGGACTCATGGTCCTACCAATGGACAAATTTTAAGTTTTACTCAGATGAGGAATCCTGACTTATGTGGCCTAAAGATCACTTCTGACAGCTGTGGACTAAGTGATCAAAGTCTTGCTGTAGGTCAAGGGAGCTAAAGCAGATATGCTTGAGGACAGGAGATGAAGAACAAAGATGTGGTTTATATATTCCAGTGCAGGGGAAATAGTGTCAAACAGTTACCGGTTTTATTTATGGGTTGCTTGTGTGGAAGATGTTGGTGGTGAAAGAACAGTACTGCTGTACAGGCCACCTTGGTGCATGGAGTGGTTTGGCTTTAGATGACACTTGGTCAGGCACAAAATTCCCAAGCATGTTAAGCCATCTGAATTAATAGAATCAAGTTCACTTCATACAAAGGCTGTTGCTCTGACATTGAAATATAATAATAATAATGAATTCTCAATAATGAGTCTGGTGGAGTTGTGATTATAGTACTAGAAAGAAGTATCTCCTTTGTTTGCCAGGTGTTTCAGCGGGATGTGAATGATTTGCATATGACACACAAGATTGGACTTGTTGAAGCGCTGTGTGGATTTCAGTTCACATTTAAGCACCTTGATGGACGTCAGATTGTGGTTAAATATCCTCCTGGGAAAGTAATTGAACCAGGTAGGCTTGACCTGATAAGGATTTGTTTATGCTTTTGTGATTCTTCAGCACTTAATCCCAACCCTGGTGTCCTGTTAACTGAACCTAGGCTAGGGAAACTGACAATTGTGTGGAGAGAGAATGGCTCTGCACTAGCACTCTCCTTATTACTTTATTTCTCTTTGAATTCCAGGTTGTGTCCGTGTAGTCAGAGGTGAAGGAATGCCACAGTATCGCAATCCTTTTGAAAAGGGGGATCTCTACATTAAATTTGATGTTCAGTTTCCTGAAAATAACTGGATTAGCCCAGAAAAGCTTTCAGTAAGTAGTTTTTCAAGCATAAATGTGGTGTCTTACTTGACAGAGTGTGCAAAGAGCCTATGTTGTACCTCACGGGCTTGCTTTCAGTGCTTAATTTAGATGCAAGTAAAGTTCCTTTAACTTTTTCCACAGGCCATGTGTTACTTGGAAATGCCCCTTGAAATATGAATTTATGGAAGTTGTATTTAAGAGCTGTGCAGATGGTACACAGATGAGGGCAGGAGGAGAATCTTTCTGTTGCTTTGTGATAAGTTTACAGAGTGCAGCTGTATTTACTGATTGCACTTTTGGTTGATGATATGTGGAGCTGCTGGTTTTCTTCAAGTGGTGTCTTCTAGTTGATACAAATACTTTAAATGACTCTGCAGTTCAGGGCTTTCATCAGCATAGGCTTCTAAGCCAGACCTGCTTTTAGAGGTGTCTTGAAGTTGTGGGAAACGAGTCACTTTATTTAGGAGTTGTAGATGCAATACTGAATGCATTTCCTTTTTTGGGGCAGGAACTCGAAGATCTTCTGCCAGCTAGACCAGAATTTCCCAATGTAATTGGTGATGCAGAAGAGGTAGATCTTCAAGAATTTGATACCACTCGTGGTTCAGGTGGTGGCCAGAGACGTGAAGCTTATAATGATAGTTCTGATGAAGAAAGCAGCCATCATGGACCTGGGGTACAGTGTGCCCACCAGTAAACATTTGTCTAAAAAAAGTTGCACAAGGATTTTCTTTCAAATTTTGCCTGACTTGTTTTCAACAATCCAGCTGGATTGTATAAGTAATCCAGATGAACCAATGGACATCTATTGCTGTATGTGTAACTTTTAAATTGGTCTATAGTATCTACAGAGTGTAATTTAAACTAACCACAAGCTTACATCTTCATTTTGACTGTGTAGCAGAATAAAGCACTTGAAAGGAAGACGAGACTCCTTTTCACATGGGTTTTAAGTTTGTCCTCGTATCTGTGCTTGATTTTTACCAGTTTTGTGTAGATTTTAAGTTTCATATTTTAAATTCAAATTCTACATTGTAAAGTTTGTGTACAATTTGTCCTGAGGCTTGGTATTTGGCTGCACCTGCATAAGCTGCTACAAGTAGAATCAAGAATTTCATAGCCTGTATCTATCATCTAGATGCATGGTAAATGGGCTTTGCACATAATGGGTTTAGAGCTGACTGGGAACAATGAAAGACTAAATTAGAAGTGGTTGTAAGTTTTTTTTCTACCATCTTGTGAACGGTTTCTGAAATAAAATAAAAGCAGTTGGTGTATAATATATTTCTTTTGCCTTGTAACTCTTACTTTTCCAGTGGCTTTAACTAGTCTGTGTATGAAAAGACTATGTAGATGATAGATATTTTATAAACACAGGGAGGCTGAAGCTGCTTTAAGACTAGGTGAAGGTTAGATAACAATTGTGTGCCACATTCAAGTCTCTTTCTGAAATGAGAGATGACTAAATGGGCACAGGGAGGGCTGCAGCCATGTCCCCTTTGTGTGAAGAAAACACAAGGATATGTGAATTCAGTCTAAAGATAACAAACCCCTTAATTGGGAATGATTAAATTCTGAAATAATGGTGTCTTTCTCTTAGCCTTTGAATACTATTCAAAGCCTGATTCAGCCTCACTTCCTAGAGAAATGTTTCCAGTTTAAAAAAAAATGTTTAACCTGGAAACATAATAAATGTAGATGGTTTTGTTACTTCTCTAGTAGTTGGCACTTTGGTTTTAAGTATGAAGATACAAAGATCTCCAGCTGCTGTTCTATTACTATTAATGGGCAAAAATGCCAGAACAAAGCAAAAATGTGACCTTACCTAAGGAACTGTTGTGCATGAACAGTGTTGGGTTGGTAAGCTGCCTCTATAGCAAGGTTTCTCTCCTGTTTAAGTGAGAAAGTTGAAGCTCTACTTTTCTTTACAAATCTGAAGTGTGACTTGTTTAGTTATTTCTCTGATAGTTGTTGACACTTTATTGATGAGGTTGGAGGGACAAACTCCAAGGGTTTCAATGTGCTTGGATAGGCATTGGCATTTGAGTGTTGCTGAACATCCTTGTTATAGACTCTAAAAAATGAAGCAAAAATAAATACTGTTTGATCTGTATTTCAGTACTGACTTATGATCTGGCATTCTCTAGTGGGTCTTTTATTTTCATTTATTAAAACTTGGGGTTGCTTTTTGTGAAGCCATGGTGATATGCTGATCCTTTCTCCTGACTGATCTCACCAAGGAGTCAGTCTTTGTAACCTGCAATGCTTAAACAATTACAACACCTCTCTTCTGTTTATAAGTCCTTGCAAAACAGAGCAATACTCTAAACCTTTAATCCCCATGCAGACTGGGTTTTTTTGAAGAGGAAGAGAGGAAGGGATTCATGGTAACTTTTCAGATATCTGAAGTGAAGGGGTGGAAGAAGAAGCTGAAGGGCAGTTCTGCTTCAGTCCTCAGCTGGCATTAGTTTGGACTCCTTCCAGCAGCACCTGATAACAAATTCTAATTTTACCTGTCATCTTGCACATTGCTGTCATGTCACTCACAAGACTGGAAATAAGTTTTATTCCTGTGTTAGATTCATATATGCTACCACATAACTAGAAGTGTCTTAAGGCTGTTCAAATACTTAGTTCCTTGTACTTCAGTTTATTTGTGAGTTGAATATTAGAGAAACTTCCTATATACAGCCTCTTACTGTTCATTTTGCTATGAACTTCGTTAAAATCTAACCTAAGCTTTTTATGAAAAAAAAAAAAGAAGCATTTTCTTCTGCTTTGGTATTCTTCATAACAGGAACTTAATAAGACACATCACATGGTATGAAAGCTTATAAAAACATTTACTGGGCAGTATACAGCTTTATTAAGACATTGTAGACATAATTTCAACACTTTGGAGGCAGCAGGCAAGAGCAGTCATGAATGTTCTGTGTTCAAGACAGTTCCATTAACTTGGTTTAGGTGTTACCTTTCCACACAGTACGGTCAGCTCACTCTGAGGGGGAAAAATTCATTTTAGCTCAAATTTCCCAAAAGAACGTGGAAGAAGAAAGGTCCCTACTTTAAAAGCAAGCAATGAGCATTCACTCTCCACTGTCTGTCTACAGAGACAGGGCCATAACAAAAACCACAGAACAGCTCCCAGACCTTTAGCTTGACTCTGCTGCACTGGTCTCTATACCTGCACAACTGTAAACTGCTTAATACCTCTCAGGTGCGGATAGAACAAAAGCCCAGGTACCCTCATCTTCAGTAGGGTTGGGCAGTATGTGCTCCAACATTCTGTTCCACTTCATTTTGCTTCACAACCATTAAGGCAGCTCCTGTTCAGCTGCAGCAGAGAATTGACAGGTGTGTAGTTCTTACTCAGCAAGGGACACAGAATAATGGAATGTAAGAATCAAAACTGAACTGTAGCTCTGTCAGCCTTTGTGAGTGAGAGATAAGAGAATGGCAGTTTGCTCACATGGTAGGACAGCCACCAGAGCACTGCAGAAGGAAGAGTTTATGCTCCTGTGGTCCCCTAGGCTATCACCAAACTGCATATGCTTATGTAAGTGCAGTTACTTTTATACATAACCCATGTGCAGCAGTTCTCCCCTCCCTCTTCCTCACTCCAACTGATGCCAGCCAGTTTAGGCTTAAACTCCAAAGAGTTTAAATTTGCATTCGTGACAGAATCTGACATGAAAGTCTGGGAGCAGGTGTCTGAATACACAGATCTGTAAGCCTCCTAGTTCAAGCTTACCACCAAGTTATGAATGTGCTGTACTGTATCCTGATTTAGGAGCTGCACATCGATATTACGGAGAAGATTAAAAGATCTTTCTTGCATGCCCAGATTCTCTGAAACTTTTATGCTCCCCTGTACATTGCAAAACTTTGGCAACCATTTTTCCTTTCATTTAGCAGCATCTCATTTAGGAATAGCAAGAGCTATCACTATCAGACTATTTGCATTGATCAACTACTGTAAGTTGAAAATGTTTTTTAAAAAAAGATACCTGTCCATCAGCCAAGGGAATGTTGACAAATGGAACACTTTTATGTTGGGGTACAGATTTACTTCTTTTTAACATGCCTTGAACTCTTCCACTGGCAGGTAAAGTTCTTGAGACAGTCTGTTGTAATCCAGCACTAGAATACAATGAAAATGTTACTCTTCTGCTTAACTTCCTATGCTCTGCTGGAAATTTTCAAGCAAGAAGCAAATGCAAGTAGTAGGAAATACACCTTGGAGAGAGGCAGTCATGTTTAAATTTCTCCAATTCTGCCAGGAGACTACAGAAATCCAACCATGAGCAGCACGTATGGGCACTGCTGGGTAAGGTTTTATGACCCTGCCACTGCAGTAACCTTGTAAGCCTGTGACACAAGATGACATTCTGGCCTCTCAGTAACAAGAATATCCACTCTCCAGTATCAGCAGTGAATGTTTACAATTTTGGAAAGAGGAAACTTCATGCCTCAGGGCTTAAGATAAGACATGCTGTATCTGTCTACTACAGAGGGAGATACCAATAAATACCAAAGCTGCTACTTCTCAGAGGTACAGGGCATGCCTTATGCCATGCAGAATTCCTAAGTTTTCATTATACAGCTGTTATTATTTTACTTGAAAAATGTTGGATTTGGGTGTATTCTGCATGGAAGCAAGCCTCTGACATTTATAGCAGGCCAGCGTGAAACAATCACTTACTGGTTTCAGGACCCATTTAAGTTGTTCACCCCCTCACATCATGTGCCAAAAGGAAACTAGTGTATGGATACACTATATATAATAACTGATTATCAGTGTATTTGATTAAGGGGTTTGTGGGGATTGGTTTATTTTTCTTTTAACAAAGCAGTATTGTTGACATTTTAATCCAGGTTGGGTACTGAGAACAAGTTTGAAATGTAAGCCTGTAAATAATGAGTGAGAACAGAATTTATACTCTAAATACATTTATTTTCTAACTGACTTAGTTAGGACATCAAATCCTGTGCCTCCACAATAATGTAAGTTAACACCCAGACCCAAAGCACAAGGTGTTTGGCATCCCTACTGTCACATTTAGTGGCAGACCACTAGATCAGTTACATCTGGATTTATGATAATATAGATACACAGTGTCTTGGTACTGAACAGAATTATTTATTAAGTACATACTAAAAATCCCTTACCTTTTAGCTCCCTTTGGAGTGGCTTTGAGATTTGTGGCACTGCAATGGAAACAAAGAGACTTAGCATCCTTCTGCAAGCTACATTAGCAGACGAGTAAACAGACACTAAAAAAAATGCAGTTATTTGGTTTGTGTTTTGTTGGGGGTTTTATTTTGTTGGTTTACTATTTTTATTTTTTATTCATCCTCATCTATTTCTACTGTAAATTTTTAGCTAGGATGAAGGTAGACAGACAGTGGATTAGAGAATGCTGAAGTGCCCTATGACAGGGATCTAGTGTGAAAAACACATGTGAAAAAGCCCTCCTGGGGTTAACATGACATTGTGGGGCCTAAAACCCTAGAAGAATCAAAGGTCAGTCTTACCTAGAAAGAGAGTTCAGTTTGCCACTTAAACCAGAGGCCAGTGAAACCAGTGACCTGGTTTTGGAAATCTGAAAATTTATATATAAGACTGCAGTTAAAAAAGGTGGCATTTGAAAGGAAAATTTTTGGTATTTGCAGGAAACAATACTGTAAAAATTCCTTGTTGAAAAAGGGTAGTTAAGCCCCATAGTATTGCCTTTTATATATATCGAAAATGCCAAATATACATTCTAAAATAAGTTTCATAATGCCAAAATGTATTTATTCCTACTGAAGTTCTGTATAACCAACCACCTGTCTAATATACACCCTTCCAACTTTTAAGCTTTTTTACAGTAAAAGTCTAACTGCACAGAATCTTTTTTGTATTTGTTGTCATTTGCTACATCAGTGTCTGGCTGAGGAGCTACACTGCACAGACAGATTGAGGTGGCAAAACTAAAACATTTGATTTGGTTTAGAGACAAGAATGCACTACTCAGTTATAGAAAAGCATGGATTAAACACGAGGTTGATTTCAAAAATAAAAGAAGTTTCAACAAAATACGGTTCCTCAAACCATCAAGACTTACTGGCAAGTCAAGAGAGAATGACTATGCCAGTACTTGCCAGCTTGTGTGAATTAGTCACTAGAAGTGCAGATACCATATTTCATTATGAAAATAATTTACTGTTTAACCTTGCTTACCTTCAAATACATTACATTTAAATTAACTGACTTTTCCAACAGACTGCAGAGCACTGGCCTGCCTGGTCATGGATCTAGCAGGATTTGTGGCAGGTCAGAACTGATTAAGTCCTTATGTTTTTTGAATAAAAACAAAATAGACTTACTTTTTTAGTTACTTTCTTTGCAGAACTGTGCTTGGCATCTTCATATTCAACAATTGTGGTTACCTTAACTAGAAATGTATTAGCAAGACAAGGAAAATAAAGATCTTATGAAGAGTACAAAACACCACATCAGCCTTGTGTTTGAAGCCTATTTCCCCATTTGCCCCCTTCAACCATCCAATGTCATTCACTTGGGACACAGGTCAAAGCAAACTGTGTGTTCATCACACGCACTGGGACACACCAGACAGTTAAAAGACCCCAGATAATCCCTCAGCCACAGACAAAACAGAATTACACCCTCAGTGGTAGTGTCCTCCTTACTGCATATTTGGGGATATGAAAAAAAATGGTATTTTTCTTACAAAGCTCGATGAGCAGAATGTGAAGGGAAACCTAAGAAAAGAGGGGTGACTTTCCTCGCTCTCCTGCTATATTGTAAAGCCTTAAATCTGTCTTTTCTAACCATTTTCCCTGACAAATACAAAGGACAGGAACTCTTATCTCATGCTTTAAAGCACCTCTATGGTAGCATAGCTCATGATCCTCCACCCTGAATGCTGGGGAGTCTGTTACGCACTTTTCCCTCTTGTACTCTTCAGGCTTAACATTCATTTTACAAGCTCTCAGTTCAAACCAGTAAAAAAAAAAAAAAGAAAATGTAAGAACCACAGGCAATATATTAATGAGTTGACCTGCCTTTTTTGCTGTTGGTCCTCACCAGTTTGGGATTTGGCATATCTTCTAGAGAACAGTCAGTCTAAAAAAAATGTTCATCCAACAAGGGAAGGTCATCAGATTTTTCCCAGTAGATGCATATTGTGTTATAAAAGGCAGTGAACTAAAACGGTATGAAAGCAATTGACAGGAAGTGGGATTGGCTAAACACCAGGTTTTGTGGTTTTTTTGGAAACATCTGAATTTCTGCCAGCAGATGACCCTAAAACTTTAGGTAATGTTCTTAACTGTACCATGGCTGGCTGTCTAGGTTTTTCATATCATCCTCTATTTAAACACATGGCCAAACAAAATCATTTGTCTGAAGTATTTACAGCAGGGAGAGAAGAATTCTATTCTGTAAACTGTGATAAAATTTGAAAACACACTCCTACCATTGCAGCAGCAAGAACCACTTCCTCTCGTCCCTGCAAATCTGAAAATCAAGAAATTATAACTTATTTAGATACTATTACTTCCATCATTTTTATCTTCAGATTCTTATCTTATGGCGCAGAAGCCAAACAAGTAATTTAGGGTTACAGTGGTTAAATAGGCAATCTTAGGTCAGCATATGTGTTACATTTGAACAAAATTCCAGTCTTGCAGGACTGCAGTAACTCCTACAAAACAACAATGAAAATCTAAGGCAATTTCAGTGTTTAATCCTTGAAAGAATCCTGAGTGTAGTCACACAGGGTATCCCCCAAATTCAAAGAACCACAGTGCACACACACTGCACTGCAGACAGCTAATGCTCTTAGGCAGAAGTTTCTCCAGAAGAAAATGCATATTAAATACATATTCAGGCTTACAGTAAACTCAAGTTCTTCAAGAGGTTCAGGTTTGATCTCTGTGTGGCCCCTACAATTTCCAGCTGCAAGGTGGATTCCAGAAACATCAGTTCTCACTAGAATATGCATCTGATGCTGAGTGTACGCTTGTTAAACCTCTGCATCAATGGGAGTTAAAATTAAACTTGTTTGCTTATCATCACAAGTATATGACTAGATTAGAATAGCTCAGGAGAGTTCAAACTGACAAAGAGAAAATAATCTCTCTGGCTAAAGATGAACAGATTCAGATGAACAAAAATGCTTGTTTTTATACACAGAAAACACTAGGTTTGTAATGATTTCTTGTCTCTTCAGACTTGAAATAAGATTACTTAAATGCACACATAACAGTACTCTCCAGACTAGTAACCAACTAATTCTGTACCCTGCGTTACACAGATCAGTCTACTTGAACAGGAGTGCTCAGCGAGCATCTGCAGGGTAACAGCACTGCTGATCTGCTTAAAATACAGGGCAGACAAAGCAAACCTTTTCATGAAAGCCACCAAGTTCCCAGGTTTTCTCCCGTAGCCCCGGGCACATCGCTGCCCGCACCCCAAGCACAGGACCACGCACACTCACCGAGAACCTCTTTCCTTTTCATCTTCCTGACGGCAGCCGGCATCGTCAGCAGCTCCACCGCAAACGCCTTCTCCGCTGTCTGCAGAAGCGAATCGAGCTCTTTCTTCATCTCCTGGATGTGCTCCTTGGCTTTAAAACAAAACTCGCTTTTACTGCCATGCGTGTTACTTGTTTCCAAGTATAAGCACTGCAAGACCGCGCTATAAAAGAAAGTTAAACCAGCGATTTATCCGGAGAAATCCGAGCCGGGAGCCGGAGCGCCTGGAGCCTCCATCAGCCGCCAACCCGGGGCGCGGGACAGGCGNCCGGAGCCGCGCCCAGAGCGGGGCCGGACACCCCCCGGGGCGGGCAGGGGAGGCCGGGAGCCGCCGGGGCGGGGACGAGCGAAGCCCGCGGTCCCCGGGCTCTGTCAGAAGGGAGGGAAGGGCGTGAGGGGAGGGCGGTGTGGGAGTGCCCCGTCTCGGAGGTGCCTCGGGCGTTGGCACCTGTCGTGACAGGACATGAGAAATGAGTACAAATTTAAAGGGGGGAAACTGGGGTTAGATAATAGAAATTATTTCCTGTGAGGGTGGTGAGACACTGGGAGCCAGGGAGGCTGTGGATGTCACAACCCTGGCAGTGCTCAAGGCCAGGCTGGATAAGAAGGCCTTGGGCAACCTGGCCGTGTGGGAGCCGTCGCTGCCCAGGCGGGGAGGGTGGGACAAGAGGACCTTTAAGGTCCAAGCCAACCCCTCAGCATTCTACGATTTAATGATCCTTATGCCCTGGCAGGAGCTGGACAGGCTCACACACACTCGGTGCTGGAGGCACAAAGGGATTGCGCTGTTTTGTTCCCCGTTTGGAGCAGCCCCGGGCACGCTGGAGCTGCGCTGGAGCAGGTGAGCGCTTCCACCCCGGGGACTGTGACCGGAGCCGGGCTGCCCGGGGCTGGGGCAGGCGGTGCTTCCCTGCCAGGGCTTCCACACGTGTGGGAAGCCTCAGTGCTCCATAGGAAGGGCCCTGTTTCAGAGCTCAGCTTTGGGTTTAGCTGAATTACTGCTGTTCAGTGTGCAGAACATGCAGGGTCTCAGAGCTAACCAAGGGAATAACCTGCTCTGTCCAAATGGTTACAGCTTGTGCAAGTTCTGATCAGATGAAGACAGGATTTAATAAACACGTAGTAACAGGGAACATTCGAAAGGCATGGATACACCAAGTATTGAATATATAAAAATATTCAAATCCACATAGTTAAAAATAGAATTCCTTGAAGGAACTTATCTTGCATGTATCTAAATTAAAAAAAAAAAAAATAATACCAGAGGTATTAATATCTTGGATTTTGTATAAATTTGAGCAAGGATTTGTGCAAAAGGACATTTAGATAATGCTTTAAAATACTAGTGGTTTTCACATGGTGTATACAGAGGCTGGAAGCTCTCTGAAGTGAGTAGCTTTTTCTTTATCATATGCATCTGGCACATCTCCTGAGCCAGACTGCACAGACTATGTCACTCAAAAACAGCTGTAAAAATCTGACTGACAATTCATAATATAAGCAATTTGTACCAGACCATCTTCTTGTTTGTAAAACAAACAACATACTCCACTTCCCACCCCCCCCCCCAAAAAAAAACCTTTCCAGAAAAACAGGTGTTTCTGTTCCAGAAAACACTCAAAATCCTGATATAAAGAAAATAACATCCTGCTTTTGGTGGTTCTGGCATATGCATATATGTTTATGGAAGCAGGACTAGTTTTCCTTTCCCTAATTTTTTTTTCTTTGAAATTACCAAATAAACACCACTAAAGTAATTCTGAGGGGTCACTGCAAAATTACAAGATAGTATTGCTCTGTAAATTTAATCTCCTACAAGCTATGTAAGAAGTTTTTTAAAAAGGGAACTGACAACACCAAAAAAAGCCCTCACCAAAGCTTTCAGGACATTGTTGATCAGCCTCAGCTGCCTGGCTGATCCTCTTGTGAAGAAAGAAATCTGGCTTGCTTGACTCCTGGTTACAACTCCTTACATTATAGGATTAATTATGAGCATAAAGTTGCCTAAGAGCATCTCTATTTACAGTTCTGCACTGGTAGGGAATAGTTTTGTGGTAATAAGTTGGACAAATGTCAAGTCCATAAACTGGGGTGATGCAGAAATTAATGACCTGGTACATGGGTACTAAATATTAGTAAATACTGGTTTGAACACGGGATCAAATGTGTCATAGTGTAATCCAGCTGGTGTTGCTCCAGTGACATAGAAAACGGAGAAGTGTTACCATTTTTTTAACATTTGCTTTATTATCTGGAAGTCTCATACATCTGAAGTACTGTCATAAGGAGCACCTGGAGGAAGATCAAACCTAGAAGCATGCACTTGAAAGGAAGGATTGTCTGTAGTTAATGAAATATTTCAATGACATGGAAAACAAGCCTTTTTGTCTTAGGTTTACAGAATTGTTCCACGAAAATGCACATTAACCGTATCACAGTACATACAAATATTGTGTATGGACAATAGAAATCACCACCCTTCCATATGAGATGCATCAAGAATAAATTGTTATCCCTTAAAATGTCAGAAACAGAAAAGGCACCATAATAGAATGTTTAGAAAAAACTCAGTTTATGCCATTATATTTTGATTCAAAAGTGTAAGAATTGCTGTCCCGACTTAAAACAAAAAGCCTTTCACACCTGTAAATTATCATTATAAACTTGTAAATCTTTACATTTTTTTCCAGAAGTATCAGGTGCAAATGCAAGGCAAATATAAAATCTATTGACTTATTAGATTACAAATACTACCCCATGAAAAAGCTGTAGTTATAAAAATATAAAAAATATTCTAAGTCCCATTATTAGATCTTAGTTTCAATCTACACTGCATTAAGAGTCCAAAGCCAGATCTGATTTGGACACATTCCTAGAGCAGGAAAGTGCTGTTTGTCTTATTTTCACATCACTTTTCTGACCTCCTCCCACGGTTTTGCTTTCTGGGTTTGTTTTATTAGTGCATATGAAGGATGCCCAGTGGAGAGTGCTGACAGGTTGTATTTTTCAATGGATGGTAGCAGCATAAGTGTGCTCAGTGTGCTCTCCTCCCAGAAGTGCACTGCTCTGAGGAGAAAAACATTTATTTTTTTTTTTTCTCCAATCCTCTGTAGTTGCTCTGTGTAGCAGCCGTGCCATTTCATCCATAACCTGTGACCCTGGCAGGTGACTGAGAGGAATACATTCTTCTCACAGGCCTCAGTAAGGAATTGTGAGAAGCTCATCCACTGCTAATGCTGGGTCATAGACTGGGGCTGCTGTGGCAAGGACAGTTATTGGCAACATCTCATCTTCTTCACGTGATAAATTGGCACAGGTTTATCTGGATGATGTTTCTCTAGCCCTTGGCTTTAGTAAGCTGGATCAGCAAAGAGTGTTGACCCAGTATAACAGCAACCTCACAAAGTGCCAGCAGACATTAAAATGAGTTTACTTCTAAATAATAACTTAATTACAAGATTGAATGTGATATTCTCAATGAATAAACTCTGTAAATGCTGAGCCTAAGCCTGACAAATGCTAATGCTTTCAGATCTAAATACTGAAAGCACTGTTCCTTTAGCCCTTTATCAGAGCTAGCAGAAGGTGTCCAGCTTCCAGCTCTAGAGAAACAGAAGCTGTCCTTTGTTTTGTAGGGAAGTTGGCAGAGATAAGTGGAGTCACTCAGCTGTACTAGATAGCCACCTCGTTCAGCTGGGCTTTGAGAAGCACTCAGGATCATTCAGCCAGCAGTAGGACTGTGGAAGATTTAAGTGTGAGCTGTACTTTATCATTATCTTTATGCTCAGTGCAAGACATTTTCCTTTAAATACCTTCCTCTTCATTAGAAATCAGCCCCAGCATTTCCCCTGGTAACAACGTGTCAGTCCTTGAAAGTTCCAGCTGGGTTTTGGCCAGCTAGAGGGGCTGTGATGTTTCCAAACAAATGTTCCCCACAGACAGAGTGGTTCTGAAAGGGTTGTGTTTTACCCTACTCGAAAGGATTGACTGTACTCACATCTGCTTTGGGACAGTAACTTACTCTGTTCCATGTGTGTAAAAGATGTGAGTTAACAGGAGACTCCTGGAGTTGTTATGGCAGGAAGTATTCAGTGCTCTTATGCTGGGATCATGTGTTGAATAGCACAGGAAGAAGAAGATTGTATTCCTTGTTATGTTTCAGTTTCATAAAAATACAGTTCAAGCAGACACCATTTTCACTCCTCTGATCAAAACTGTATATTCCATTCCAGCTATGCTGGGATGGCAGGATTCCTTTTCAGAATTTCAAAGGTATCTGCACATATCTGCTGAAGATTTTTTTTTTTTTTTTTAAATAAGCACAGTGTCCCTGCAAGCTTGATAAGGTTTGGAGAACACACTTAATAATAAAAACAACAAAAATTGAACTGAGCAATACCTATAATGTAGGAGTTTGGATTTCTGTTTAGTAGAATTCTAAGATGGGAAACACATTCCTATTTAAACAATTGAACTTGGAATTTCTGTTTTGTAAAAAAACCCACATGACAGTAGTAAGTTTAATGAGCAATTCCCTTCCCTTACTGAGTCAAAAGTTCACAAATGTAACTTTCAATCAAGGCACAAAAACATTTACTGACTTTCTTCTCACTGCTTTCTTCACATTCTTCCCCTTAAAAAAAAACAACTTGGTGTAACAAAGTCTTCTACACCAGACATAACTTTAATAGTCCAATAAGTTGTAGCAGTATCTGAGCCTGGTTCTATCTATTTTGAATTTAGTTAAATTAGATAAACAGCACATTCTCAGCACATCATTGTTCATTGTCTGCATTTGCCTTGAAGGGGAGGGGATGAAGGGGGAAAAGCCACAGTAGTTTCATGCATATTTTTCAAGAAACTTTATGTGGAAGTCTTTCACTTTCTCCAGTAGGATCTTCAGCTTCTCTACTGGAGGAAGAATGGTCATTCTGAAAAACAATATTTAAAGAAATAAAAAAAACCAACCCATATTATCTTCAGAACCAACTAAACTGTGATCTTTGCAGAGACCTTGAATAATCTCAAAGCACAGCAAGTAACATGTTTTGATGCGATTCTCTCATTTTTTGTATTTATACTTTAATTGAACTATACTATAAACTAGAGCTAATTTGTTTCTATTGGTTAGAATACAGGAATTCAAGAACTGTTACTTTCTTTTGAGTGGTGTAGAAGATTATCAGTAAGAAATAACAGCAACACAGTTTCCACTGTTGGGCAGTTGTGCCAAATTATACCCAGTTTTTTGACTTTAAGAATTGTTAGTTATGAGTGACATTTTTGCTTTAATTGAAGCATTAAAAGAATGCAACATCCCATTCTGCAGGTTTTAGTCCCTTTTTCCTTTCTTCTGCATACCCTGAAAATCCCATGGGGTGTGGATGCCTGGCTGTGTGCAAGAGCCACAGAACACAATAGTTTTCCCACACTGGTGCAGGAATGGACTCTCCAGGTTTTTCCTGGAGCTGCTTGCACCCAGGGATCTGACGCAGCTGGCTGTGTTGCAGAACTGTCAAGGCTAAAGATACCCCTGCCGTGTTGTTTCAGACTGAGGAAGACTAAATTCCATGATAAATTCTAGCTATCAGTGGCTTGGCTGGAGCAAAGTTCTGTTTATTGGAAGCAAAAGCAACAGTTTTGGTATTAGAATATTTAGTTCAACATCTCGTTTTTGCAAAGTTATACAGAGTGTTTAAGGAGCAGATTTATAGGGAAGATACTGCATTTTTCATGCAGTTTCTCCATATGGAAACACAGTATAACCCCCTCCTGTCCACAAAAGAATGCAGGGCAATTTTTGTAATTCTAGAGCCAACTTTAAAATTAAAGTCTAAACTA